TTTTTTTTTTTTTCCAGTTCTGACTTGGATGTTTTCTTTTGCTGTTTCTTAGAAATTTAAACGGGTCCCTGAGGCTTGTTTATTGGAGGCATTGTGTGGTGTGTGGTGCTGGCAAAGGGTATGCCTGTGTCAAAGTATTCATCAGGGGCTGTCTTACTTCAGCAGATTAAGTAAAAAGCAATTTGAATAACGATGGGGATTTTTCTTTTAGGTATCTTAGAGGCATGAGTTCTTTATTTTTCTCCTGAAACTAACTTTGGAAAGCATTCCGCCTTTTACATCCCTCCCTTCAAACTCTTCCCTCAAATTACAATAATAAATATCACATATGTTTGTATAATTGCAGAAGGCCTTTTAAATGTCACAGAGTGTAACTGAATCAATATTTAACTTTTACACCTAAGAGAAATTCTAAATAATACTAGAAAAATAGGGAAACTATGTAATTTAAAATTATTTTCTTCAGTGTTTGACACCATAGTGAGTAGGGTGAGTAAAAAAAAGGAGGATACTTTTTGACCTATTATAAGAAGGAAATTACCTGAGTGTGCATTATTTTCATTGAAACAAGCTAATAGTGGGAAAGCCAAGAAAATGTATATTTGCAAATTGATTTATAGAGTTTGTCACTTCCTATAATTCTAGATACGTGTAAAGATTTTTTTTAAATGAACATTTATTTAAAAGTGAGAGCTGGCATTAATTTCTTGAAGGAAATACATATTAAAAATTGCAAATGTACAAAGACACTAAGGTCTTGGCAGGGGTACCTGAATTATGTGTATTAGCATTTTGGCATTGTGGTGTCACAATCTTGTGATTGTGATGGAAAGAGAGATTAAAACCAGTGTTTTGGGAGAGAAAAGTGGCTTAATAAATTTCACTCCACTGTTTTTGAAATTAAACCCATAGGTTAAATGTGTGAGAAGTTAGTAAAATTGTCAGTAAATTCTGAATGAATCAAAGCAACCTTACTGTTCCTGTAGGGAAAAATCTAATGTGGAGGTAGATATTCATTTTCCCCAAAGATAATACATACAAAGCAGATCTTTTTTGTTAGCCTTGGAGTGTGTGAATAGTTTGCTACCATAAACATGTTTAAGTACAGTAAGTACATCTCAAGAAGAGCATATGCAAAGTACCACATTTATAGAACATTATATATATTACATGGCAATGGCAAGTGGAACCAGGTAGTCATTGCAAGTCCTTTGAAAAAGGCCTGAGAACCTATGTTAAGGTGTGGCAGGGTTTAAAGGCACTGAGGAATGCAGTGGCTTTCCAATTTTGATTCAGTAGGATAAAAGCAATGCTTTGCATTTATACAGCAGTATACCTTTATAAGGTACTTGCACATATATTATCTGATTTATAGTTCTCACAATTCTGTGATGTGGACAAGACTCTTTATAGGTAAGAAAACAGTCTTTGAGGTTAAACTCTTTGCCTCAAGTCTCTCTTAAGTTGCTAACTGATAGTGTTATTTTTGCTGTGCTAGTTATAGTTATGTACTTACAAAAAGTATATTGAGACAAGAACAAGATTAGTTTTAGAATTAAGAAAACATAGGGGATGTGGGTATAGCTCAGTGGTAAGTGCTTGCATAGCATGCATAAGGCCCTGCCTGGATTTGAGCCACAGCACTTCATCCGTAACCCCTACACACACACACACACACACACACACACACACACACACACACACAGCTTTATACAGATGTTTGTTTGTTTTAGGAAATAAATATAACAAATTTCTTTTTCTTTTAGGGAAAATCCAGAAAGAACCTTTGACTTGGTATTGAAGGTGAAATGCCATGCCTCAGAAAATGAAGGTATGTGTGTTCTAATTCTTAAAATATTTGATTGCATTTGTCAAAACAAGGGTTAACATCATGGACTGCTGGAGCATGATAGTATCAGGAAAGTAAATAATACTACATGTGGATTCTGCATCAAATGTCTCAAGTTGCTAGTAATAAAATAGATACTAGGTCTTTATGGTGGGTTTGGAGAAATCAGGCTTAACACATGCAGCTTGAATTTCAAGCATGTGTTAAGCCTGTATAACTTACAATGTATTTTTATCCTTTGTTGATAAAAATAATTTTTCATAATGGTGAAAGAGTATGTCTTTTCATTTTCTTTCATTTGTTTGAAAATTTAGCTCCATTTAAAAAATGTTTAGTGCATATTCTCTTGCTAGTACTGATGGGACCTTCACCAGTTTCCTGGTAATGTTTCTAGAATGTGAAATACAGACTGAGTAGCCCCTACTATTGATTTACTCCAGTAACATGGCATTTTCAGAGGGAGTTAACAACAGTGTAACATTATTTGGAAGAGTTTTAGCTAACAGTCTGTACAGTTTCCTGAAAAGACAGTATATTTTAGTATGACTTTTGTCAGTTTTTCCACCACTTTTGTTATAATGTATGTGTTTGTGGGGGAAAGAGAAGCAGAAAAGGATAAGAAGTATCTTTTCTCATTTAATTCTTTCTAGTGTGCCCATACATGGTACATCTTCATGGATATATTCAGCATTTAACTTTTATTTGCTGTGTTCTTAGACCCTAGATAGCATGCTGTGGGGTTTTGTGGAGACTAGTTGGCCATCTAAAGCCTTGGTGTAAAGTCTGCTGACATTCTTAGTTTTAGAGACTAGCCAGCAATTACATATTTTTAAGTAATTCAGAACTGCACACCTTAAAATAGAGGAGCCCAACCCAATTGTGGTGAAATGGGCATGGCTAATTTTAGGTAGTAAGTCACACACATTCCTGACTCTACCAGCTCTGCCTGCTGTTCTTCTGGCCTGTTTGAATTACAGCTGTGATCAGGTGTGTCTGCTGGTAAGGAGTGATTCTAAGGTTGCAAGGAGTCTTTTTTTGATTAAAAAGGTTATCTTTTTTTATCCTGTATATTGTAGTTTGTCAGTTTGCATTCTTTCAGGCCCAACCAAGTCCTCTTTACAGAATAGACATGTTAAGTGGAATAGATAAATAATTTTTTTCAGCTCTGATTTAAATTTATACTATATTTATGGTATTAGTTAATCTTGCAAATACCTACCATACTATTACCTCAGTATATGAAGTAATTCTTATCTGAAGTGTTTGTAAAATAGCCTAAATTCATTTGGAAAACATGGAATGTCTGTGGTTTTGAATGCATGATTTAAAAATTCTAAAATGGTCTTGATGAAAGGATGAATCTGCCTTATATAACAACTGATCCATTCATGTGTCACAGAGATTGTGACCTGCTATAAAGGTTTTGAGTGGTTTGCTCCCTCCTTCTTCACTTTGCTCTTTGTCACTTAGCACAAGCTAGTTATTCCAATATGTATCTTGTACTTCCAACCTTTTTAAATTGCCGCTGTCGTCGTCGTCGTCTTCTTTTCTTTTTTTGCTGTTGTTATTATCTAAATCACTACTTCCTAAAAATACCTTCATATGTATTTGAATAGTCTATCCAATTTGGTAAAATTGAAATGTTATGATGGATAAAGTAAACAATTTGTTTTTTCTGTAGGTTATAGTTAATGCATTTTATATGGCTGTTTGGAGCAAACAATTCTGAAGATTTTTTTAAAAAAGCTAAACTAATTGTAAAGAGCATTAGTCTTTCTTTTTTGATTTTGATCTAAATAGTATGAACAAAATGAATATCTTAGGGTCTAAAAAGTTATAAATTTTGTGCCCTAAAATGTAATGATATCTCTAACTAAGAGGGCCATAAAAGTTAAATTTTATGTCAAATTGAAAGTTTGATGTTCTATAATAGTTTATCAATTTTTTCCTTTATTGATAAATAAGAAGGGAAATGTATTGAAATTATTTTTTAAATTATTGGACTATTTAACTGTGCATAAACTCTTTTAAATATGACTCTGATATGTATACTAACTTATTTGAAGTGGAATACTTTTTTTTTTTTTTTGCTAACATGTAGACAAGCATGGGTGAAATTTTTACATGGTAGTTGAAGTGGAAAACAAAATGTGTAAATTTGGATGCTTTGGGCTACCAACATAAAACTGGTTTGAATACTAAAGAAACTTGAGAGTTCATATAAGAGGAAACCCAATAGGTCGTGAGTGATCCAGGTTCTTTCTACTTCCCAGTTCTTCCACCCACCTACAGAAGGCTTAGATTCTTGTGACTATAAGATGACCATCAGTAGATGTTGGAAGTCTCCTCTCCTGTTTATGTCTGTAGGGCTTTTTATGGCTTTTATATATGGCTTTTTATGGCTCTCTCTTTAGTTTCACAAGTTTCTTTCCTAAAATACCCCAGAAAACCTCTTGTTGGATCTCAGTGGCCTGAGTCATCTTGGGTATCACCATTTCCAGTGTACCATTGGCAGAGTAGGTGGAGGGCTGTGGCAAGACAACCATGATTCATTTACTGAATAGTTGGCAAGGAGAAGGTGTTGGGAACCAATTAAAATATTCTTGGTAAAAGGTTTCTCAGAACATTGCTTTTTTTTTTTTTTTTTTGATGACTACTTGATCAAATAGAAAATAGGTTCAGGGTAGACTTGATTTATCCAAAGATTGAAATGCTCTTTACTCTTTGTGTTAAGGTATTTGGTATGCTTCTCTTATTCATTATTTAAATAGGGAAGTTTTAATTTCTCTCATTTTTCCTGAGTAACTTAGGTTATAAGTATTTTTAGAGATAGTTATTATTAAGTTTTAGTTAGTAGTTTGAAACAGTATGAGTTGTTCAAATATAATTTGATATAGCCAGCTGTGGTAAAATAGTGATCTTGACCTGGTCTGTTGATATTTGGATTTGCTTCAGAGGCATTACATTGATTATTCTGAGCACAACACATTTTAAAAATCAATTAATTAACTAGTACCAAGGATTGGATCTGGGTGCTTTAATACTGATCCACATCCCAGCCCTTTTTATTTTTTATTTTTGGGACAGGGTCTCTCTAAATCATGTAGGGCCTTTCTAAATTGCTGAGGTTGGCTTTTAACTTGTTATCCTCCTACCTCAGCCTCCCGAGTCACTGGGATTACAGGTGTGAGCCACCATGCGCAGCCACAATAAATTTTAGAACACTGAAGAGTAACTTAGCTTCATATGGAGTGCCCCACAAATTTAAAAAATCACCATGAGAGGGGTTGCTAGTGTTTCCCATCATGCTTCCTGTGTGTTAGTAGAATTGCTTCTGGTAGTATTTGTGGACTGCTTGTGGCATCTTTTAATGGCCATTTCCCGCAAGATAACCTTAGTAACTGGTACTTTAACTCTCCAGAGTGAAGTGCCAAAATTTAGTTCTTAATGCTCATCCTGGTAGATCTCCAAGCTAGTTGCCGTCCTCCCTCTTCTCTTTTTTCTTCTCTGTTTCCCATCAGACAGGGAAGTACAGCCAGCAGTGATGGCCTCTGCTCAGTTCTAATAACAGAACTTATTGTTATTATTCTGCCTCCATTTTTCCTAAAGTGATTTAAGATTTCAGGGAAATGAAAAGTAACCCTTCCCCAGTAGAGACAGGACATGCCTCCTCTAAAGGTTTTTCTTTTATGCAGTAACTTTGAGACTGTAGTTTTCTCTTTTTTTATTCTGTTGATAGTTTGCTGCAAGCAACAGAAGCAGCAAACAGTAGTACAGTCCTTCTTCTGTGGCACAGTCCTGATTTTTTTTAAAAAAACACATTGTCTACTTAAGCTTCACAAGTCATAGGGGAACAGAAATATTTATCTCTATTTCACAGATGAAGAAGCACAAGGAAATCAAGAAACTTGTCCGAAGTACTAGTTGCAGAGTCTGTACTTTAATCACTGCTGTAATGCATAATGACTTTATGTAATCTCAGTATAGGCTGTTTTATCATTGGAGGAAATATTAGAGTATATGCTATATGTGAGGCAG